TCCAGTGATGTAACCATTATACCATCTGCTGGTCTCCTATTTTTGTTTTTTAACCTTGCAATTTCTTGTTTCACTAACTAAACATAGGATAGATAAACAAGTATTTATAATATTTATAGAATAATGAGATCCCACCACTGAAGATATTCAAAGGTAGAATTGTTACATCTCCTTCAAAGTGGATTGATTTAAGTCTCAAAAGGAGAGCATTTGAGTTCATTCTAACAGTTCCTTTCAACTTCAAGATTCTATTGTTCTATCAGTGTAAAAACTTGTCATTTTTAAGCCTATAAAAATTCTATATTTCATGCAATTTAATCAGATCTAATGTATTAATGCACTCCTCAGTACTCACTTTGAGGAAATTTCTCTCTAGCATTTATGAATATCTTCTAGTATGGTAAACATAATATCACTGAAAGCCTCCTTAACTACAATACTATGTGACTGTGTGTATATATATTTATATACACACACACACGTTTATGTGATTTATCTATTTTGAGGTTTAGACAACTTTACTTTGAAGCAATCAAAGATTCACAGGAAACTGCAGAAAAAGAAGTACAGGGAGTCCTCTCATTACATGTTTTAAATGAAAAATGAGGGGCCAGATGGTGGCGCAGTGGTAAAATGCAGTGCTCTGTGAGGTGGATCCACATGGGAAGGTTGGCAGTTTGCACCCAAAGGCCTTCCTCAGTGCCCTGGGCATGCACGTGCTTATGATCTGGACTGACGGAGGCTGGGATGAATCATGGTGCCAAGACTCTGTCAAGGGTGCTCTTTTTCACTCACTCTCATCTTGTTTCACTCTCTTACTTATAGAATAGATAAACTTTTTTTTTTGAAAAGTTGTCTTTTCTTTTCTTTACTTTCTTTTATTTTATTTTATTTATTTTTTTACTATTTTGCTATAGGGCGTGTGTGCTCGCCAGAAAGACAGAGAGACAGAGAGAAAGAAAGGGAGAATCACCCTCCCCGGGGGGGATGGCCACTCTGCAATCCCTTCTTCTCGGTTGTCCTGTTTTGATTTTGGGCACACATGCACACCCACCTGCCATGAGTTTAAGCCACTGGGTCCAGGACTTGAAGCATGGTCGACTACACGAGAGTTCAGCAACATACCCATTACACCAAATACTGGTCCCAAAGAAATAAACTTTTAAAAATGTATGGGAATTTTTAAAAATTTTAAAAGTAGCACATGCTTACTGAAAAATTCCACATAAGTCAAAAATACCTGAAATGTAAATAGAATATCTTCACACAACACTCTTATCTCTTTCTTTTTCTTTCTTTTTTTTTTTTTTTTTTGGAGAGGTTTTTGCTATAGGGCGCGTGCGCTCGCCAGACAGACAGAGACAGAGACAGAAAGTGAGAAATCACCCCCCAGGGGGGGTGGTCATGCCGCAATCCCTTCTCCTCCATTCTCCTCTCGGGATCTTGGGCACGCACGCACACACGCCCGGCGTGAGTTTTAAGCCACCGGGTCCGGGATGTGAACCGCGGTCGACTATGTGGCAGTCCAGCGACATAGCCATTATGGTAAGTGCTGGTTCCCCACATAACACACTTCTCAACACCCCTGTTTACAATGTAATGAGTGGCCTTCCAGTATTTTGTTTAGATACATATAGGATTGGTCAATTTTTTTTTTAAAGCCTGCTTAACAAGCAATCCCAGCTTCTATTCCATCCCTACATAGCCTTGTCAAAAGGCTCTGTGATCGATAGTAATAATAGTCCCAAATATAGTCGTAGTCACTGATTAGTGAGTATTTATAATGTACTGGGAACTCCTGGGTACTTTGTACACACAGTCTCATGTATGTATTAATATGACAACAACCTTATATGGAAGGTATTTATTAGGATTTACAAATGAGAGAACTGAAGCTTAGGTTACATAGCTACTGTATCAGAGCTTGGGATTTAACCCAGGTCCCTCTGCCTCTGAAGGTAGATCTTTTCAATCAATTGTCAAGTAAAGAATATTTTATGAAATAAGAAAAGAGAGGACCAAATAGGAAAAATATAAACTTTTTTCAGTTTTAAAAAAATTAGACAAACCAGGAAAAAAGTTAATAAACATAATATTTAAACCAATTTCTTGGCAGTTGGCTTTAAAAAAGAATGGAATTACTATTTACTTTCCTACCAATTGTATCTACACTTGCAGCCCTAGCATCAGAGTGTACTGTTTATCAGGTACAGTTTTCTTTACAGTCATCTCTGCTTCAAACGCGACAAACATTGACATTTGTTACCTGATGTATTTAGTCTCAGATCTGACAAGAGTATCTCTATAGAGCTGTCACAGGAAACCTCACTCCTCCCTCAGTCTATGCCATGGACAGCATAGAGCCACGGTCACATTCTGAGCCCCTCTCAGAAGGGTGAAGGACAGGCCTCCATGTCCTCTTTGTGAGAAGGCACCACAGGACCTGGCTCTGGCATCTGGGGTCTGACACTTCCAATGGCATCTGAGTTCCTGCAGACTGATCTTGAAGGAGGGGCCAAAGCTTGGGGTTCAAAGTCAGCTCACTAACTACCCCAAATGAAGTCAGTGGAACAGAGAAAATACAAAATCCCATAGTTCAGTCAGACCTACACAGAAAAAGATTAAGAAGGGCCGTCTTGGCTGATGGAGGTTTTTGTTTTGTGGTTGTGGTGCAAACGTTTTACAGACCTGAGAATAACGACAGCCTGTGGAGCCAGCCATAAAAACGGCACTATATGGCCCTTGGACTGTAGGAGACTTAGTATTCTCCTCCTCTCTTTTAGTTTATTTTGTTTTTACTTCCATGAGCAAGAGAGAGAGAGAGCCTCACTCCCAATGGAGTCTTCACGACATGACCCACCCCCGGTCTCAGCCAGCCCAGCTCACAGCCACGCATGCACACCCAGCATGATGGCGAGGGCCCAGATGTGCATTACCACTGCACCTACCACCTGACCCTTGGCTATGGTTCCAGTGGAGACCAATGTCAGCCTCAGCTCCTTCCAATCAGAGAGCAACAATTTTGCTGCTTTCTTTCCCAATTTATAAATCACCTTGTATGCAAATGATTGAGAATAAAATTATTTAGGAATAACTCCAAGTATATTTCTTTAAAAAGGGATTTGTGGGTGAAGCCATTTACTCACAAACTTCAGGATTTTATTGCAATTAATAAGTTGCTTGTAATACATCTCCCAAATACAAATGTGTTTTGACAAAAAGATAAAAACCTAATGTTTGCAAATAAATATGTTTCCCAACAAATTTTAGACAAATTGAATCATATTTACTCAAACAAATATTTTGTGTTCACCTATGGTAATACTATAATGTAACAGTGAAAACGTGTCTCTATGATTCCTTTGTAAAAATCATTCTTGTCCATCCTGCTTATCAAAATTTGAGGACTAATAGTTTACATTATATATTTTTGAACATGAACAAATTTTCCATTCATATTATCTCACTGAAGGAATTCAGCAATCCCTCAGGTTTTGGAGTGGATAATCTCTAAAATTAATTCTTCTCTGGTTCTATAAGTATTGAACTAGAAAGTTATACATACACAGAAAAGATATTAAAATGTGTTATAACGTAGATACCGTCAAAATGGTAATGAAAATATGCACACTATTCTGTAATATGTCCTTAAGGAGCAGCATATCCCAATACAGAACAGGGTTTTTCTCATTTATGATGATAAGTAAACTACTCACCACTGACTCTCACAGAAAGCCTTGGATTTCTGGCTTTGGTGAAGGGGTTTGCTAAGGTCCACACGAGGACCAGCGCTGGAAAGGATACACTTTGGTAAGGCTGCTTTTTGACCTCTAGGCATCATGAGAAGGATGCGACAATTGAGGAGGTGCCTAGAGCATAATCATTACTTGATGCAGGAGTAAAAACTGCTATTTGATCTCTCCATGTACTCATTTTTCTAGGGTGGCCATTTATAAGTGCTTGTGGACCAACCTTTGGGGAGTATCTCTCTAATCTTTCTCTAAGCAGCTGTTCTGGGATTCCTCAAAGTACAACAGAAGTCAAAGGCAACAGCTTGAATATAAACTATAGAAATGAAGAACAATTAATTCTCTCCTGAATTCATTAAGGTTGCGGCAAGCATCTTTCCCACCATGCAATGAAGAGATCGACTTCATATCTCTTTGGGACATTCATGAGTGAAGCTCAATACCAGATAGCTATTACGCAGTTTTTGGTGTAAAGAAGGCAATGTACAGAGTGAAGAGACAACCTACAGGATATGAAAAAATATTTTTAAACTATGCATTTAACAAAGGAGTAATAACCAGAATATACAATAAACCTCAAACAACTCAGCAGTGAAAACAACAGCAATCATAAACCCCAAACAGATTGATTTGCAAGTGGGCGAAAGACCTAAATAGCTATTTCTAGAATAAAGGCATTAAAATAGCCAAGAAGTATAAGAAAAAATCCTCGACATCACTAACCATCAAGGAAATGCAAATCACAATCGCAAGAGAGATGATCTCACCCTCATTAGAATTGCTATTTTTAAAAATAAATTATTTCAGAGATTTTTGGTATAAGGCACACGCACTCACCAGAGAGACAGAGAGAGAGATGGGGAGGCAGAAAGTGAAAAATCATTCCTCAGCAGGATGGTCACACTGTAATCCCTT